GAGGAGGAGGGAGAAAGGGAAGAGGAGGAAAGAGGAAAAGCAGTTGATGGGGAGGGGGAGGAACAAGAAAAAGGAGAGCAAGAGGAGGGAGAAAGGGAAGAAGCAGAAGACAGGGAGGAGGAGGAGGAAGAGGAGGTGGAAGGAGGAGAAGTAGAAGGAGAAGATGACAGGGAGGAGGAAGGAGAAAAGGAAGAGGAGGAAAAAAGAGAAATAGCCGTAGTAGTAGTCATAGTAGGAAGAGGACGACTGAGGGGAATCTCTGAGCCTCGCTGTTTCCTTGGCAGACATTTCACGACCCAACTAGGAATGTCATCAGGCCCCTGCATTGTCCTTCCCCATCATACCACGCCAGGCGTCTCCTGTCCCCTCCCTCCTCCTTCCACTCCCAAATTGTGGCTGCGGGTTGTGCAATGTGTATTTAGAAACACACACACACATCCCAAGCTTGGGGATCGACCACAACCACACACACACACCCTTTACCTCCATGTCTGCTTCCTCTAAGATCACCAACTCTTTGGGATCCACTGTTCTCCAGCTGGAGAGAGAAAAAGGGAGGGGGGTGTTATGGATCGGTCGATTTGTGACTCACTTAACAACCACAGTGATTCACTTATCAACAGTGGCAAGGAAGGTCTTAAAACAAGGCAAACAGCACTGAAAAATGCTTCACTTAACCACGTGATTTACTGAACCCGAATTCCCTTAATGACGGTGGCAAGAAAGGTCTGACAATGGAGCAAAACTCACTTAGCCAAAGCTTCACTTAACCACTGTGTGATTCAATGAGCAACCACAGTGATTCCCTTAACGTCGGCAGCAAGGAAGGTCCTTACATGGGGCCAAACTCCCTGAGAATTGTTTCGCTTAACTGTGCGACTCAACAATTGCATGGATTCCCTTAATGACAATGGTAGGAAAAGGCATAAAATGGGGCCCAACTCACTTCCCCGACACTTCCACTTCACAACCGATTGTCCTCCCTTAACCTCCATCTTTCTCAGCCAAAAAAATGTGGTCATGAAGTCGAGGTGTCAGCTTTGGAATTCCCTGTAATGGAATTCCTTCTGGGACTGAGACGTGAGGTTTCCCCACTCCTCCCTTCAAATTAACTTACTCTTCGTCTTCAATTTTTAAAATCCCAGATTCTGGATTCCTCAGGAAATCAATTTGAGATTTCACACCCCGCCCCCCCCTAATAAAATAAAATAACATAACACAAAATATACAATAAAGTAAAATAAATGAAATCAAATGAAATATAAAATAAAATAAATGAAATAAATAAAATAAAATATAAAATTAAAATAAAATAAATGAAATAAATGAAGTTAACTTAAATGAATAAAATAAAATACAGTAAAATGCTGTAAAAATAAAATACTGTAAAATAAAATAAAATAAAACTGAAATAAGAGGAACTCACCTGGGGGTTAAAATCTCTTTATACTGCAATTTTTCCACCCGGGTGGCGGAGGCCATGGACATTGGTATGACGATGTTGTTGATATCGTAGGAAGTTTCCACTTTTTTCTTTTTGGCAGGCTGCATGGGGAGAGAAAAACACACACACACACACACACACACCACAACACACCATCGGTGAAACAAAGCAACAAACAAAAGACGCCAGGGGAGGGGGGGGAAGAAATCTTGCCACTTCGCAGGAGTGAAGGGGGCGTTTTACCTCTGAATAAAAGGGGGTTTCTCTTAAGACGGGGTTGGGCTAAGTGACCTGCGAGGGGATTTTGGCGGGATGGAGACAAGGCAACAGCCCAGCGTGGTGCTTTCCTATTACAGGGTGTGTGTAGCTCAGGGTTGAAGGGTGTGCTGTGCGTCTCTCTGAGCAGGGGCACGGGGGAGGGCAGGTTCTCTTGAAGATGTTTCATGACCCCGCTCGGTTACATCATCAGTGTTACAAGGATTGCGGGGGGTGGGATTTGCAGGGAGGAGGAGAACGACTGGGGGGGGTGGTGTCTCCTTGGATGCTCTCTGAGCTGGGTGGTTTTCTATCAGACATTGCACGACCCAACTAGGGAACGTCACCAGGGCTAGAAGGGAGAAGAGGAGAAAGAGGAGGGAGGAGAAAATCTGTGAACATCACTAGTGCTGGAAGGAAGGAGGGAGGGAGGACTGTGGGCTCCTTGGGGTTCTCTGAGCTGGTTGTTTTTCTTGCAGACGCCTCATGACCCAACTAGGGAACATCATCAGTGCTTAGAAGGGAAAGGAGGAGGAGGGGGAAGAAGAGGAAGAAGTGGTAGATGATAAGGAGGAGGAGGAGGAGGAGGAGGACGACGACAGCTACGGTGTTGTGGGCTGCCTTTTGCACATGGCCCTTTTCCGGCTCACTTACCAAGGCGGAGCTGCTGCTGCTGCCGGCTGTGGCAGGATGAGGGGGCACGTGATTGGCATGCAGAACAGGAGAGTTTTCGAGGCACAGAGGCGGCGCCGAGTGCAGAGCACCCGGTTTGTTGGGCACGGGGCGCCGGGCGCAAAGCCCAAAGCCGGCCAATCCTTTCAACAGAGTACCTGGGGGTAAAAAGAGAGAGAGAGAGAGAGAGAGAGAGAGAGAGAGAGAGAGAGAGAGAGAGAGAGAAAGAAAGAAAGAGAGAGAGAGAGAGAGAGAGAGAGAGAGAGAGAGAGAGAGAGAGAGAGAAAGGCAAGTCAGTCAAATCTGTCGTAACCGAGACTATGTACTGGAGGGGTTTGGGATTCCACCGTCGACCCCGTTCTCTGCCAACCGATGAACGACCTGGGTTCTCTGGCCCTGAGAAAAATCTTTTCCCGTCATTTGGAGAAAAGAGGTCCGCCTTCTTCGTTGCCCTCGACTTACGACCATTTGAAGTTCCAACGGCCCTGAAACGAGGGACTTGGCACTGTGTTTCTTACTTACACCCTTGACAGGATCAAAATTCAGACGCTCTGCCACTGACTCGTATTTATGACGAGGGTCAGACCCTTTTTGCCACCTTCCATCAATGGGGAAACCCAGATTTGCTTTAATGACCACGGGGACTAACTTTTCACCCTGAGAGCGATTGACTTCACACGACTGGACAGGTCGTAAAAAGGGGCAACGTTCCATTTTTTGACTGAAACAAAAGGTCTCGCTGAGCCAACAAAGTGGAAGGCTCCCATCGAAGGGAAAAAGAAGCCGGAAGCACTTTTAATGACCAGGGAGTTCTGCTTTCTAGGGGGGAGCTTTGCTTGGAACACTGACAACTGACGGGAACAACGGCTGGGATTCCCTTAACGACGGAGACGTTAATTTAAAACCGTCTTCCTCCGCCACAGCAAAGTCAGTGGTCGTGCGCAGGGGTGGGCTCCCGAAATGTTACCAACTGGTTCTCTGCCTGGTTGCTGGGTGGGTGTGGCCACGGTGGGCATGGCCTAGTCAGCCCGATGGCGGGGAGGGAGGGCGTTTTTGCGCTCCATGGGCTCCCGAGGCTTTCCTCGAGACTTCGCGAGTGCGAAAACAGCCTCCCCGGGCTCTGGAGGCTTCCTGGAAGCTGGAAACGGGCCCACTTCCGGCCTTCCGGAGCCTCCAGGAGGCCCATATTTCACCTCCCTGAGCCTCCACGTGGGCCCTGTACTTACCTGGCATCCAAAACGGGCTGCGTGGAGACTCCTGGGAGGGGCAGGGCAGGGCAGGGCCAGCCAGGGGCAGGATTTGCCGGTTCATTGAACCGGCCATAAAAGAAATATATGGTAAAATTAGAACCGGTTCGCATGAACCGAGGTGAACTGGTAACAGTCCACGCCCACCCTGGTCCTATGTCAAGGACCGCCCCGTCTTCCAAAAGAGGTGATGACGATGACAAGCCCGCGATTGAAATTCAGCTGCTCGGCAACTGGTTCCACTCCCCCTTTTGAACTGCAAGGCCCATCCAGGAGATGGGACATGGTGTCAAAGAGACAGCAACCCCCTGCCCCCAAACCCACATGCAGTTACTTTTACCCGGAGCGGCAAGTGATGGGGAGCCAACATTGTTGGTTAAGTCTTTCAAACTGGCATGGGGCGGCTTCGGAAAGTCGGGTTTCGGGGTGCGCCAGTGGTCTTCTCGGAGCAAGGCCTCGAAGTGTAAATGCAGAGGGTTGCCTGTTGAAAAAAAGAGAACATAAATAAATAAATAAATAAATGACATTGGAACCCTGCAAAAGTTGAGGCAGAACTCAAGAGGCTTGTCCTCTTTTGAGTAACACGGGTCGACGGCTTCGATGCCTTATGCCGTAGCGTCTCATTACGCTGGCAGGAAGCTTTGGTTTTCTGCTCCGTGTATGTAGATGTTGGAATGAAGGCTGTGGGGTTTCTCTGTGTCATACGTGTGCGTGTGTATGAGGGTATCTGCGCGACGGTTACCTCTGGAGGGCTAAATACAAGGAAATATCATTTTAATGTATGCTGATTAGTGTACATTTTAAAGCGACAGTAAAGTTTCTCTTCTCTTCTATTTCACCCAGCTGTTCTAATTCTATTGTCTATTCCATTCTATATCCTATATCCTATTTTCTATTCTTTCCTATTCCATTCCATTCTCTTTTCCTTTTCTATTCCATTTTGCATTCTATTCCATTCTGCATCCTATTCTATTCATATTCTACTCTATTCTAATTCCAATCAATTCCATTCCATATTCTATTCCCCCAAAGCCCGTGTGGCTCACTTAACAAGGCCTGTGAGACCCTAAACAACGGTGTAAAGACCAGTCATAAAAGAAGGCAAGCCTCTCTTCACCGTCTCACTTAGCAATGGAAATGTTTTTTGTGCCTGCTAACAGGACAGAGGGGAGAAAAAAGCGAAGGAGGACAGAGAATAATTTCAGAGAGGGGAGGAGTTATGGGGGGTGTAAAGTTACTCACCGTGTGGGAAGGAGAGGATGGGGTGGAAGCTGGAGTCCAGCAAGGCGATGCGTTCCTCCAAGGACATGGCCTCTGGGTCGAGGGGGGGCAGCGAGGCCTTGAAGTTGCACAAAATGCAGGAGTTGGGCTGCTCACAGGTGCACTTCAGGCTGAGAGGCTTCGGCGGCTGTGGGGCGAGAGAGAGGGCAGAGCGATAGGGACGACTTGAACCGCTCTTTGGCCTCACGACTTGGAAAAGAGGAGCGGGGTCCATTGCGGGAGGCTTGGAAGAAAACCAGCAGGACAGCCGGCGGTCTGAAATGGTCAAGGGTCTCCCGTTTGAACAGGGTGTGGGACTAGAGGACCTCCGAAGTCCCTTCTGACTCTTGTCATTCTGTGATTCTGTAAGGGTCTCCTGCTTGAGTAGGGGGTTGGACTAGAGGACCTCTCAGGTCCCTTCTGAATCTGTTACACTGAAGAAAAGGAATGGAAGGAGGACGGACTGTGGGATCCTGGGTGCTCTGTGGGGGAACATCCTCAGTGGTAGAAAGGAGTGAGATTATATGGTATGTCTACAGAGAGAAAACCCCTCTCTCTCCCTAGCACTGATGATGTTCCCTAGTTGGGTCATGAAACATCTGCAGGAAAACCACCCAGCTCAGAGAGCACCAGGGATCCCCCAGTTCTTCCTTCCTTCTCTTCCCTTCTTTCTTTCTCCTCCTTCCTTCCCTTCCCTTCCTTCCTTGAGGATGTTCTCTAGTTTGGTCATCGCCCAACTCGAAAGGACCCCATTTGAAATGTCTGCCTCGCCTTCTGGCCTTACCTTCCGGTTCAGGTGAGCGATAGAGCCGAGTCTCACCAGCCGGCGCTTCTTGTACCTGCAGATGGGACGGATCCGAGCTGCCACGCAGCTGTTGTCCAGGGCCGAGGCCACACCGGGCAGGCTGTGGTTTGCCGGTGGAGGTTTCTTGAGGTGCCTCTCAGAGGCCGGGCCTTCGGCAGAGCTGCCACTGGTGGCGCAGGTGCTCAAGCTGGGAGGGTCAAAGAAAAAAACGATAAAAAAATATCCCGGAGGCAACTTAAACGGGGATGTTGGTTTGTGTAGGAAGGAATGATAACCCCCCTTGCCCAGAATCCTTGCAAAAGAAATTGACAGGAAACGAAGAGCGCAACTATAATGGGTCCTTGAGTTATGACCATTCAAAGATGCCGATGGGTCCCCACCAAAGAGACTTCAGTCCGATTCAGAGTTGCGATGTGGCCCCCACAAAATCACCTGATGGCATTGTGGCACCACCCGTTTACATTTTTATTGGAAACTAGCTCTTGGAGAGAGAAACTAGCTGAGAGAGAGAGAGAAGGAGAGCAGGAGTGGGGGAGAAAGAAAAAAGGAAGGAAGGAAGGAAGGAAGGAAGGAAGGAAGGAAGGAAGGAAGGAAGGAAGGAAGGGAGAGAGATGGAGGGAGGGAGGCAGGAAGATAGAAAAGAAGGAAGAGGGAGAGAGCAAGTAAAGGAGGAGACGAAGGCAAAAGAGACAAGGAAGAAGAAAGGGGAAAAGGAGGGAGTAAAGGAAGGAATAGGGGGAAAGAAAGGGAAAGAGAAAATGAATGAAAGAGAAAGAAAGAAAAGATGGTGGGAGGGAGGGAGAGAGGCAAGAGAGAGGCAGGGAGGAAGGAAGGAAGAAAAGGAAGAGAGCAAGTAAAGGAGAGGAAGGAAGGAAGAGACAAGGAGGAAAGAAGGAAGGAAAGAGGGAGGAAAGGAAGGAATAGAGGGAGAAAGGAAGAAAGAAAAAAGGAAGAATGGAAGAGAAAGAAAAAGAAAAGGAAGAAAAACAGGAAAGAAAGGACTGACAGGGAGGGAGGCAGGGAAGGCGGCAGGAAGGAAGAAAAGGAAGATGGAGAGGAAGTAAAGTAGGAGAGGGAGGGAAGAAAGAAAAAGAAAGAGAGGCAGGGAGAGAAGGAAGGAAGGAAGGAAGGAAGGAATTCATGTTTAATGCGGACAAGTCTGTTCACAATACAAAATAATAACGGTTATCTTATCTTATTTTATCTTATCTTATCCTAGCCTATTCGTATATACGAATAGGATAAATTTTCAAAAAGGGGGAAGAGATTAAAATCAGAGAAAAGGATCAAAATATAAATGACCTTGAAAAAGGCACGGCAACCACAACGAGCTCTTCCTTATAAATTTTATCCACTTAAATCTTGTACGATAACTACCCCCGTGATCTGTTCATTATAAATTTATCCATTTAAAGCATCATCATCTTTGTTTAATCCCTTACTCAGGGGTAACTGAATGGAGCTAGCAGAGTGTTTACTGGCCGGATGCCCTTCCTGTCATTGATGCAGAGTTTTGTTCAGCAGATATATTCTCATTGTGCCGAGAGAGAGAAAAATATCTGCCTCTACACCTAGGATCGAACTCACAGCCTGATAAATTTTATCCACTTACATCTTTATAGGACAACTCACCAGTTGCTGATTCCGTTGACTTGATGGGGGGACGGGCAGGCTTTGGGGGGCTCTGGAGAACCATTGATGCGGGCGCAGGAGGGATTTTGACAGACCAGGTTCCTTAAGGACTGGGCGAGGTGAGAATTCTAGAAGGGAAAAAATGGAATTATTATTATTAAATATTATTGTTATTATCATTGGTTCCAAAAACATGTTTTATTTCCCAGCACTGAAAAAGCTGGAGGAGAATAAGAATTAAAACAAATTAAATTAAAAGAATAAAAAAATTAAAACCATTAAAAAAGGAACGATAGAAAAGTGCTCAACTCTTATTTGCCATTTCAGCAGGGAGGATTTACCCTCCCTTCATGACTTTCCAAACCCTCCTCCCACAAAGCCCCAAAAATTGCCGGCTGGGGGGTTCTGGGAGTTGGAGTCCTGTCTTAAAATGGCCCTGATCTAAGCTCTCCTCTTTCTTTTCCCCCCATTCGAACCAAGAAATAAGGACTTTTGACAACACAGCTTTTCCAAAATTCGCTGCCCCACCCTTTCTGGGTCAGCCACCGCTCCTTGGGACCGGATGCATTTGCTACAATACCAACCTGTTTTTCTGCATTTTGGAGGAGATAAGAAGGGATACAAGGCGATAGTCCAGTGGGCACCTTCAGGTGGGGGGAGGAGGGAGGCTGGGCTGGGGTTTTCCTGGAGTTCATCCCCCCTGCAGGGGAGGCCAGGCGGCTTGGCGGCTTGAGCCCATCTTCCTGCTGGAGGCTGCCCAGGATAACTGGGCCCTGGGGAGAGGGAAAGAAAAAAAAAACCACTTTGTATTATGTATTCTGCTTGTATATTCTAGTGGATTGTGACAGTAGATTCACAGCCATCTACAAAATAAATGGAAGGGGGGAAGAATTAATAGAAATAATTAGGGGTCCTTGGTGCTCTCAGAGCTGGGGGGCGGGGGGGTTCTTGCAGATGTTTCATGACCCCACTAGGGAACGTCATCAGTGCTGCAAGGGACCGTACTTATAAAACAGAGAGCAAACCCCACACTTCCTCTTGCCCCGATGAGGTGACCTCATTGGGATGAGAGCTTTGACTCTATTGTACGACCTGGTTGTTGAGCGAATCCCTGCCTATTGTGAAGTCAGTCTCATGTAGTGGGAAGGTCACCCCCCCGCCACCCCCACCCCGGGACACTGCGACGACTGTCGTAAAGATGACCCAGTCTGCATTTGGAGCACTGTGAGCCGTTTTTTTCCGAACTTCCAAACAGGTTCATGAACAGGATGTCGAGATGGGCCGTAAGAAGATGCTTCCGGCAAGGAAGGGAGCTTGTCCTTTACCTTGTTGGCACGGAGCTGCTTGTAAACGTCAGTCTGCTGCCTTATCCGATACTCCAGGTCCAACACCTGAGCTTGCAGCCACGTCCAGCGACAGATGATGGCCGCTCTCTCCATCGCCCACTGGCGCTGTGCCAGCCGGTGCCTGAAAAACACCCAGAAGCATTGGCGTTCGCATTCTTCATATCGAGACACACACACTTAAGAGGGATTTCAATCCATCCAAACAATACGTACTTGGCATTAGTGTCTTCACGCAGCTCAGGTGCCTCAGACACACACACACACACACACACACACACACACACACACATATATACATACATTCCCATACAAGTTTTCCTCAGCAGCCAACTCCTAGGTTGTTCCGAAAGAAGCCACGATCGGTTTTGTATTTCAGTTTTCTCCGGAAGGTCATTTGGCAAGCTTTCAAACTCTGGCTTCTTGATTGGATGGATGGATGGATGGATGGATGGATAGACAGACAGACAGTGATTAGAGATACAGATGATAGATGATAAACAGTAGATACAATATAGATTACATAGATATAGACATATAGATATAAGTATAGATGACAGAGATAGAGATAATAGATGATAGATAGATGATATAAAGAAGATAGATGAGATAGATAATATATAAGATTAGGCAGATACATAGATGATATAAACAGATATAGATGATACAGAGAGAGAAAGATTAGAGATATACTATAAGTTGTAGGTAGATGCGATAGAGATTAGATAGAAATATAGGTAGTAGATAGATGCGATATAGCTAGATGATAGATTAGATACATAGATGATATAGACAAATAGAGATATAGCTAGATGATATAGATAGTAGATAGATGACATAGATTATATTGATAGATAATATATATAGATGATATAGATTGAGAGATTGAGAGATGATATATAGATAGCAACAGCACTTAAGTTTATATACCATTTTACAGTGCTTTACAGCCCTCCCTAAGCGGTTTACAGAGTCAGCCACTTGCCGCCAACAATTTGGGTCCTGTTTACCGACCTCGGAAGGATGGAAGGCTGAGTCTACCTTGAGCCTGGTGAGATTTGAACTGCCAAATTGCAGGCAGCTGACAGTCAGCATAAGTAGCCTGAAGTATTGAACTCTAACCACTGCGCCACCATGGCTCATTAGATAGATAGATAGATAGATAGATAGATAGATAGATAGATAGATAGATAGATAGATAGATAGATAGATAGATAGATAGACAGATAAGACATGGATGAGATAGATCAGGGGTTTTCAAACTTGGCAAGTTTATGACTTGTGGACTTCAACTCCCAGGAAGGACTCCCAGGAATTCTCAGAGTTGAAGTCCACAAGTCTTAAACTTGCCAAGTTTGAAAACCCTTGAGATAGATAGATAGATAAAATTTCAGAGAAGTCTGGTTGCAGGGAAAGGAAAGGAAAGACTGTAAGTTTGCATTGAAAAGTAAGGCTTAGGTAGAGATGGATGGGCTGTGCGGGGGGAATATACAGGAATTGTAGTTATAAGCCGAGTGGGCATTGAAGGGTGATGTAATTGGGATTTTTCAAAAAGGCCATTATTTGTATTTTAGGCTGCGTCACCCATGACGTTAAAGCACAGAGGCTGTTGCCTAGTTCAGCCATGAAAGGTTTGCCAAAAAAAAAAAAAAAAGCCAAGCTCAGAGACAGCAGCAAAGATCTCACAATCTTCCTCCTCTATGGGAACACCGCTGCCTGCTAGCACTGATGCTGTTCCCTAGTTGGGTCATGTCTACAAGAAACCCACCCAACTCAGAGAGTACCAAGGAGCCTGCTGTTCAGACCAGCCCGCAATTTAGTCCACATTTAACCACCATGGGAAGTGCTGGCAACACTAAACAAACCCAAACCACAACCATTGTGGCATCTCTACGGTCCCCCATTCAAAATTCAAGGTGCCGATCTTAAGATAAATCATGTCTGAATCTAGAGCATCGTACTCATCTCAGTTTCTGGACCAAGGAAGCCAGGATTGTCTGAAGACGGGTCATCTGGCCAACGTGGCTTATTCACCATGCTGGCCATGGAACAGCGTTAGCTTCCCACTGAAATGGAATCTGTTTAACTACACTAGCCTTTTGCAGGGAGGGTGGGGGGCGGCGGGCTGGGCTCTTGTTTTATTCATTTATCATTTTATCGTTTCATTATTATTTTTATATGATGTTTTTATATTCAGGTAAGTAATCTTGAGTTGCCATGGGCGACTTTTCTAAATTTTCTAAAATAAAATAAATAAATAAAAATTCATGCTTTTGATGGCTAGGTGAGCAGGAACTGGAGCCAGGGACAGGAATTCAAACCCTTCGCGAAGCGCTCGGGTCTCGAATGGCCAATCTTTCCCTTCACAAGGCCGGAGTCTGTTCCGTTCTGATGGTCACAGCATCCCACTTAAGCAACCGGCATTCAGTCCCTGACTTACAATAGTTCATTTAGCGACCATTCAAAGTTAGAACAATCTGGCAAAAAAGGGACTTAGGTCTGTTGCTTGCACTTATGACCATATAAGCACTTCCATGGTCACGTGATCGAAATTCAGACACGTGGCTCCCGACTCATATTTATGACGTGATCCAAATCCAGATGTTTGGCAACCGACTCGTATTTACGGTGGTCGCGGTATCCAGGAGTCATGAGATTCCCCTTTGGTGACCATCCGACGAGCAAAATCGAAAAGGGAGGGAAGGGGAAGCCAGTTTCGCTTAACAAGCATGCAACTTGTTTACCGACAGCAATTCACTTAACAACTGTGACAAGGAAAGTCCTAAAACGGAGCGAAACTCCCTTCACACGGGTTTCCTTAGCCACAGAACATTTGGGGGCTCACTTCTGGTTGTTAAGTCAAGGACGACCTGTAACGTCGCTTTGCCATTTCAGGTTGCAGAAATACAAAAACACACAGTCACACTCAAATTAGTCTGTAATGAGGGTTGCAGCATTCCAGGATCACGTGATCTCCTTTTGCGACCGTCTGAGAAGAAAAGTCAAGGGGGGGGGGCAGGAGCCAGATTCACTTAACGACTGTGCAACCACAGGGATTCATTGAAAGCAAGAAAGAAAGGTCCTCAATGGTCTCGCTTAGCCCTGGAAGTTTTGGGCTCGCTTGTGATCATTAAGTCGAGGACCAAGTCAGAGTCAGTCCCAGTACTGCCACCATGGTGGATTTGTGGCAGGGTGGGTTTGATTTCAATCAAGTCGATTAAAATCACAATTGAAATCACTAGTAAAAAGAACTGATTCACAGTAAATCAACTCGATTTAAATCATAATTTTTAAAGAGCAACTGACTTGCCGACAGTCCCAATATAGCAGAATATATAGCCTCTGGCGACATAACTAAGCTCCATTTCATGCTGAATAAACTAAATTATGAATGTATCTTAAATAGAAAACTATCTTTAGATGTTTTTTACTCTAAAAGCATTTTATTAAAATAAATTCGATTAAAAAAAGTCCAATTTAAATTTTAAAAAATCTGTTTTTGTTTTTTTACAAAAGACCGTCAATTTTTACCCACCCCGATTCATGGTCAGTATGCAGGGTGAAAAAGGCAGAAGAGGGAGGGGAAGGGAGGGAGGGGTGGGCAGGGCTGTTCAAGAGGAGGAGACCCTTCTCTCATTAGGGAGCCGGGGGGGGGGGAATGGCTTGGACCGGGGTGGGTCCTCACAGGATGATGGGTGGGATTCAGTTCTAATGGCAACGGGGGCTGCTGGGCTGGGCGTCACTAAGCCAAGTGACCCTTTACTTGTACAATGAAGCTCCATTCCCACTTGTACACACCCATGTCACAGGTGTTCATCGTCAAGGTCCGTAGGCACCCATGTTGGGCTCCATTCACACAGGTACATCCGTAGCAGGCTCTCCATTCACACATCTACTCCCAGGTCAATTGCCACGTTTTCACAACCCGATCAGGTTGCATTCACACCCAACCAAACTTTTGAGTCACACGAGTATACACCCATGTCAGGCCCCATTCCCACATGCAAACACCAGGTCAAGCTCCATGTACATGTGTAGAACCTCATTCACATGCATACACGCCATTCACACATTTACGTTCAGGTCAGGCACCCTGCACACGTCTCCAGCCCCTGGTCAGGAACCATCCACACGTGTGCATACCCAGAAGTCAGGCTGCACTGACATGTTACACCGCCAGACCCGAGCAAGCTCCCCCCATCGGGGTCTTGCGTCGGGGCCCGGGGCCCTTGCTGTCTCAGGAGTTTTCAAGCGAGGAGGCCAAAAAGGAGGAGGAATAGAGCAACTCGGGCTTCATTCACACATACAAAGGAACATCAGGCTCCATTCACACGTGTACATGCAGCTCAGGCTCCATCCTTACATTACACCCCCATCCACATGTGCACACCCAGGTCAAGCTCCATTCACACACATACATCTGTATCAGTCTGCATTTCCACATGTACACACACCTCTCTCAAACTTCATTCACACGTGTACACCCAGGTCAGGCTCCATTCCAACATGGCTCCACCCACACGAGTACACACTCAAGAGTCAGGCTCCTTTCATATATGTACATCCAGGTTAGGCTCCATCTACATGTTAAACCCCCATTCCCACAGGTACACCCATCTAAGGCTCTATTCACACGAATACGTCCATCTTAGACTCAGTTCACAAGTGTATGCACCCCCATTATCAGTCCATTCACAAGTGTACTTCCATCTCAGGCTCCATTGACACACGTCCACACCCAGAAAGGTTGCATTGATATGTAGCTCCATTCACATATGTACACAAACCCATCTCAGGCTTCATTCATACATGTCCATACCTAGAAGTCAGGCGCCATTCCCATGTGACACCATTTAAACATATACAGATTTGTATCTCCATTCACATGTGTCTACACCCATGTCAGTCTTCATTCACACCCGTCCATACCCATCTCTGTCCCCATTTACACGTGGGGGCTCCATTCACACATGTACAAACCCATCTCAGACCCCATTCACACGTGTACACCCTGGGCTCCATTTACACGTCTACACACCCAGACTCCATCCACATGTGTACACAAACCCATATCATGCTCCATTCACACCTGTACAAACCCATCTCAGTCCCCTTTCACAAGTTTACAGACAGGTCAGGCTCCCATCTAGATGTGTTACCCGCCCCATTCACATTCCTACTCCCATGACAGACTCCATTCACATGTTGCATATCCAGGTCAGGATCCAATTACAATCCAATCCCTTTCCACAAGTATTAAAAAACCATCGAGGCCTGGGGAAACCACCCCACCTCCCTTCACAAAAGCAGCCCTGAGAAGACACTCAACCCACCCCAGTGCTGGATCGGGGCCCAGGGCCCGACTTGGGGGTCTTTGCTGTCTGAGGAAGAGGAGGAGGACGAACATGTACACACCCAGGAGTCAGACCCCATTCACATATGTACACCCAGGTCAGTCTCCATCCACACATATACACCCCTCTAAGGCTCCCCATGGATACAGGTACACCAACCCATCTTAGGCTCTATTCACAACTGTACCCCCAAAAGTCAGGCTCCATTGTACAACCGGAAGTCAGTCTTCATTCACACGTGTACATCATCTCAGGCTCCCATCCACACCTATACATCCATCTAAGGCTCCATTTACACCTGTACACCCATGTTAGTCTCCATTCACATATGTACACCCATCTCAGTCCGCATCCATGCATGTATACATCCTACCAGGCTCCATTCACACATGTCCCAGCACCATTCAAACATATACACATCTATCTGTCTCCATTCACACATGGACACCGCTCTAAGGCTCCATTCACACGTGTACACCCATGTCAATCTCCATTCACACGTCTAGATCCATCTCAGGCTCCTATCTACATATATACAACCCAATATCAGAGTCCATTAACATGAGTACCTCCCCATAAGACAGGTTCCATTCAAACATATATGCATCCATTTGTGTCTCCATTCACGCATGTACACACCCATTCACACGTGTACACCCATCTCTTGCCCATGTACACCTGTACCCCCAGAAGTCAGGCTCCATTCAAAGGTCTACACAAACGCATCTCATACCCCATTCATACGTATACACCAATCTCAGACTCACATCTAGACGTGTTACCCCCTCCCCCCATTCACACATTGCACATCCAGGCCAGAGTCCAATTACACATTACACCCCCATTTATATGTGTACACCCATGACAGTCTTCATTCACACGTGAAAACGCATCAGGCTCCCATCCACACGTGTACACACACCTATCTTAGGCTTCCACCTACACGTGTTACCCCGCTCCGTCATTCACACACCTAACCCCCCCAGGCTCCATTCACACGTTGCACATCTAGGTAAGGGTCTAATTACACGTGTTATTAAAAACCCGTGGAACACCCCCTCCACCTCCCTTCCCAAAAGCAGTCCTGAGGAGACACTCACCCCACCCCGGTGCGGCATCGGGGCCCGGGGCCCGGCTCGGGGCCTTCGCTGTCTGAGGAAGAGGAGGCGGCCGAGGCGGAGGACGAAGACGACGACGACGACGAGGACGAAGAGATCCCGAGCGAGGAGCCGGAGGAAGAAGAGGCCGAGGACGACGAGGAAGAGGCGGCCGAGGCGCTCTCTGTGGCATCGGAGTCGCAGCCCCGCTGGGCCGCCCGGAGCCGGGCTTGAGCCTCGGCCGCCAGCTGCCTCAGCTCGGCCCCGTCGCCGCCGACGTTCCGACCAGGCCGCGTCCGGCTTCGGCCCGTCACCAAGCCGTTCAGCTGGTGCCGGACGTGCCGTTCCACCTGCCGGCCTTGCAGAGCCCGGAGCCGACGGCAAAGGCTCCGTGCCCGGGTCCAAAGGACGGCTTGGCGGGCCCGGGAAGAAGCCAGGCGACGACGGAAGGTCGCCTCAGCCGCTTCAGCGGCCGCCATTACTGGCGCCAAAAAAAAAAAATTACCTCAGGGCGGGCCGGGATTCTCCATTTGCTTTGGGCGGGCGCGCGCGCGCGCGCGGGACAATACCAGACAGGCCCCGCGCACCTCCGCGCATGCGTCCGATTCGGAGGACGAGGAGGGGAAAAAAATAATAAAACGAACGTAAGTCCACGCAGGAGAAATGGGGGGAGGTGCGGGGGAAGATGCCCGCACTTTGTTTTGGGCGGACAAGTGCGTGCGCGATGGCAACTTTAGGGAGGCGGAGGGAGGGGTCGCAGCCTTCGTTGGCCTTTTTCCGCATGTGGGCAGGGAGGTGCCCGGAGTTTCTAAAAGAGATCGGAAGGGCGAGGTCCAGGCTATCGTTTGCGCATGTGCGGCGGAAAAAAGTGGCCGGATTTTCTTACGGCGCCTCCTTTCGCACTTGTGCGCATGTGCGGCCGGAGGTGCCCGGACTTTCTTAAGCCATCGGGAGGGCCGAGCGTGGTCCGTGGCTTCGTTCGCCCGGCTGCGAATGCGCGGATCAAACTGCCCGGAGGTTGGTTTTTTGTTTTTGTTTTGGCACATGAAGTTCTCGCACTTAAAAACGCAGGTAGTTCTCGACTTACGACCACAACGGAGCCCAACATTGATGTCGTTAAGCGAGACATTGGTGAAGGGCCTGTTACCCCATTGTCACCACTTGCCTGGCCACCCAGGTTAAAATGAATCACTGCAATTGTTAAATGAGTCACATGGTCGTTAAGTGAATTGGCTTTTCCCCAATTGATCTTCCTTGTCAGAAGGTGACCTAAAGGGGATAGCATGACCCAGAACACTGCGACCGTCATAAGTGAGAGTCAAGCATCTGATATGTAAATCCTGTCTCCGTGGTTATAAGGGTGAAAAAAGGTGGTAAGTTCCCTTCGGTGCTGCTGTAACTTGGAACGGTCACTAAGTGAACTTCGAATAAGCCCTCGACATATAACGTATTACGTAGTGACCGTTCGGCGCTGACGAGCCTTATGTTCAGGTTTCACACTTATGACCGTGTTGTCCTGACCCAGGGTCATGCGGTTTCCATTTGGATGCTTGACAACCGGCTCACATGTACGATGGTCACAGTGTCCCGAGGTCACGTGATCCCCTTTGGCGGCCTTCTGACAAAGCAAGTCAACCAGGAAGCTGGATTCACTGAACAACGGTGTGACTAATTTAGCAGTGATTCACTTCACAATGATGGCAATAAAGGTCGTAAACCCGGGCAACGTTCCCTAAACGACCTGCCTCGGTTTTAGCGACCCAAGTTTGGATGCCCTGTTGTGGTCATAACTCGAGGACGGCCTGGATAGGGTCGCTCGCGTGAACCGGGGGTTGGGTTAGAGGACCTCCAACCAAACTACAGCATACCTTCTCTCAACAAATGGAGCCAAGGATTGTTTGAATCCTGGCAGGGTCAAACGATGAACCAGGATTAATGGACCATGGTAATTTTTTTCAACCGTTAGAGAATCGCGGTCCGATTCTGGCGGAGACCGAACGGAGCTGGAAGGAGGGGAGGAATTTGCAGCGGGGTTGAGAGGCAGCTGCCAACGCCCCAATCTGGGAGAGGTAGCGGGAATCCCATCGATGGGCAACCCCGTGAGAATCGTAGCTAAGCCCGGAGAGATACCCCACTTGGAGCGCGACTCCTGACGTAAAAAACGGACCAGGCGCAGGGCTGCCAACCTCGATTTCATGGAGGGCCCGGTCAGCAATGTGGTTGTCCTACAGGGGCCAGAGTGGTGTGGCCACCATGACGTCGGTCACATGGGTGGTGCCTGTGGGGACTGGGTGAGGTGAGGGATAAAATCCAGGAGTCTCCAGTGGGTGCAGCGGTGGATAGGCGGGCCTCTCCGACCGCTGCCTCGCAATGCTCGTGTGCTCTCCGGCTTGCACCACGACTGCTCCAGCCGCAACTGCGGCTGCCCCATCCTTGCCACGTCCACCCCACCTACCCACCAACTGGATGGTGGGTCAGTCCCTCTGGCCGCTGCCCAGTGACTCTTGCCTGCTCTGCACCCAATAGTGGTAACCGCTCCAGCCACAGCCCTGGGGCTCCCCATCCGTCACAGAGCGCTCCACCTCGCCCTCCCCCCAAGTGGGCGTAAGAATCATAGAGCAACGGCTGGAGGGGCAGGCTGGTGACAAGGAGGCTGCTGTGGGGCTGCCACCTGGGGGAGGAGAGGGGAGTGGGCTGCTGACAGGGGCAGCAGATGCATCACCCTCATCCACGAGGAAGAGGAGGTGGCAGCACTGATCTGCAGCCTCCTGCGCACATGCGGGCGCGCCGGAATGGAGTGGGCAGGGCCTGTGTGCAAATGTGCCCGCCGCTTCCTGAACACGTGTGTCTCTGCTGGGATAGCGTGGGCCAAGTGACGCAAGCCACCCCATTCCAATTTCCAGGACAGCCATGTGGCCCGGATCCGACTACATCCGGGGCCGGATCTGGATCACCTCGCAGGCTTGTCGAATAAATGTTTGGGGAATCCTCGGGCCATTCAGCCTTGGAACAACCGGTTCCCTGGACCGATGTCGGTATCAGCCGCCCCACTTGACACCTCAGCGCCTCTGATCCGTAGGAGTCGAGGGTGGCAAGACAATCGTTGGATTGCAGAGTTGAAAGGGAAATTAAACGGGCGTTTTGGGAGGCTTCCTTATCAAAGGACAGAGTAGGTGAGCCCGACACGGAAAGAGGAAGCGCAAGAGGGACCTCGGAGTCCTAGCAGGCGATCACTGCAGTACGAGCCAGCCGTGTGCAGCGCCAGCCAAAAGAGCCAACGCCATCCTGGGTTGTCTAAACCCAGACTGAGAATCAAAATCACGGGAAGGTTTTCGCGCCGCTTTGTAAAGCTTCGTAAGGCAACACCCGGAATGCCGCGTCCCATTGGGGTCGCCACGTTACAAAAAAAGATCTTGAGACTTTGGAAAAAGATTAAAAACCCGGAGACTAAAACATACGAAGAACGGTCGCAGGAATTGAAAGTGGCCAATCTAGAGTAAGGGAGAAGGACGGGGGACATGAGAGCAGCACTCCGGCATTTGAGGGGCTGCCCCAAAGAAGGGGGGCGGGGGGGTCCACTTACTGTCCAAAGCGCCAGAAGCCAAGAGAAGAAACGAGGGATGGAAACTCATCTAGGAGAGAAGCAACCTGGAATAGAAGAGGAACTTCCTAACGGGGAGCACAATGAACCAGTGGAACTGCTGGACACTAGAAAGTTGTGGGTGCTCCACACTGGTGGGGTTCAACTGGTGTAACCACCGGTTTGGTGAGTGCACGCAAAGCGTTTGAAAACAGCTCTAAAACTTACCTTCTACGGCAGCCCCAGTGAGTAAAACAGCTGAGGGGCAGAGTCCACTCTGTGAACCCTTCAGCTGGGCTTCAAACAAAGGGAATATAGGACAGACTAGCGGGTGGGCGGGTGGGGCCAACTCACTGCCGGAACCACCGGTTGGCCGAAGCGGTCCATATCGGCTGAATCCCCCCCCGCGCACACACACACACACACACACACCGCCTGCTCTAACGTCAGAGGTTTCTAAGATGAGAGCGATCGGGCAGCTGAACTAGAAGACCTTTGAGGTTTATTTCAGCTCTCTTCTGACTATTGTTAAAGAGTAGCGCCTTCGGGGCGGAAAGTGGAATTAGTGGCCTTGCTAAGACTACGTGTCCCACCAGTCGAGGAGGGGCTCGGGACCTGACTCCGGAAAAGAAAGCTGCTGGGGTAGCATTCACACAGTGAAGAGGGCTCCTTGGAGGGAAGGGCCGCTTAAGCGGAAGCAGGGAGAGGGAAAGAAGAGCTGTGGGTAACTTTGGGCCAGTTCCCCACTCCCTCTCTCGGGCCAACCCACCTCACAGGGTTGTTGTGGGGAAAATAGGAGGAAGGGCTGTGGATTGAGTTGATCATTGCTTTGCATTATTTGTAAAAGTAACAGAGCTGGGATATGTATGTTGTGTATACGTAAGATGGGTGGATGGATGGATATAGATTCAGATGGATAATATAGATACATAGATGATAAAGAGGATTATCAAATGATGATATGTAAATTATATATATATATACATAGGTGTAGATTCAGATAGATAATACAGATGATATAGAGAGATGATATATTTATTGAATTTAGATTGCTGCCTATATAGATGATATATATAGATACACATATAGATTCAGATAGATAGTATAGATATCTAGATGACATATAAATGATAGACAATGTATATATAATAGATATACAGATATACATTCAGATAGATAATAGAGGATATCTCGATGATATAAATAAATGATAGATGATATATAATAGATATACATGGATGATATATACATAGCTATATAGATGATATATAATATAGATATTCATAGATATTCAGATAGATAATACAGATGATACATATAGATGATAAATTATATTTATTGTATATTGCTGCCTATATAGATTTTATATATATATATATATAGAGAGAGAAATTCAGATAGATGATGATATATAGATATCTAGATGAAATAGATAAATGATAGACGATGTGTAATATATAGATTCAAATTATACAGATGATATAGTTGATACAGATGATAAATGATAGATGATATATAGATGATACATAATAGACATATATTTCGATAGACAATATAGATCATAGAATATATAGAATCTATTATCCATTATCTATCTATGAACCTATATTATATAGATTCAGATAGATAATATGGATTCATAGATAATCCAGATAATAGATGATATATAACATAGAGCATATATAGAAGATATAGATTCATTCATAGATGGAGATAGAGATAGATCAGATATAAGATACTCATACACACACACACATACGTGTGTGTGTGTGTGTATAATATGTATATGTATATATGTAATAAAATAGGGCCAAGCCCCTTACCTCTAAGGCCAACCATCCTCCAAACCTTCATCTCTTCCTTGCTAGACTTGCCCAGACTCTCCCAGCAGATCATTTCCAACCTGGAAGGAGAGAATTGACCAATAAGGGCAGATTTCAAACCAAAATTCCCCCATAAAAATAATATCTCGGGATTGAAATAACACCAGCATCGATGTATGGAGGTATTTCTCTACCTTGGGCACTTTC